GGTGTTCTGACTGGCAGAAACTCAAAAACAAAAAGTGGTACGACTGGGTTCGGTAACGAAGATGCAGAACAAATGACGAGCGATATCAGTTTGTTAAAAGTATGAAACCTTTAAATCTAACCTGAAATACGTCTTTCAGGAACTCCTGAGAGCTGAGAGATGTCTATTGATGTGTGAGGGGGAGGTACAGGCAACCAGGACCGTATCGGACCACAGATATTTGTAATTAATAAGCTCGGAGCCCAATCGGTAATTTCCAAACAAAAACTAACCGACTCTCGTGGAAGTAGACATGCCATTGGATCCCTCGACCACAAGATGCCTGCTACATTCCCCGCCAATCTCACCTTCCTTGATTTATCCCGATAATAAACAGTGCATATAAATTATCTTTACAATTTTACTCTATGAACATTAGAAATTAAGAAGCTCGTCCTATGAAATATTCTCCCTCCTCATTCACATACCTCACTGACAACTGCTAAAGGTGAACGGCCAACAGCACACACTTCAGTCTCTCTACACAAGGAGATCCACTGGATAAGGAGATTTCGTGGATCCCATAACTGCGCTTACAGAAATCGAACCCTGATCGTTTAATTAGCAGCCAGACACTACTACGTCACACGCTCAGTTATTTAGAGCAGGAACACAAAGACTTGTACATAAATGACTGTTTAACATTCTAAGGCCGAAGTCCGTCTAAAATATTTAAACATTCGGTCCCCACCTCACGGAAAAACACGTGTCATTACAAAGATCAACTGGTTAATGTCGTTTAGACAAATAATCGATGTTTATTCTGAGAATCATACAAAATCCATGGACTCCGTGGACAAAATGGAGTAACCGATTATTATTATTAAGGCAGGTGGTACACAGAGCTACCGCTGGACTTCAAGAAGTTAATTACCTTGAGAAAATTAACACAATTTCTTCCTTAACGTATGAGTCCACTGATATTCAGCGGCGACGTAATACTTATCAGCATTAATTCTGCTGATACTTCCATCTGAGATCAGAGAAGAGAAGTTCGCAAATAAATACAAATCTTTGTCCAGCCACATAAACCAATATAAACAAACATTAAAACAAAACAGAATTTCCACACGACAGATCTTCCCTTCCATTACGATATCTGTTAACTCGGCACGGCACGGCATACATGCCGTTCCTGAACGGAGTTGTGCCATAGGTCATCAGCCGCCACATGCATTTATTTCTTGTTCCTCAGCGACATTAATTCATGCAACGAACAAAAAGCGTGTTAAAGTTATGTTCAGATGAAAGGCACATTTTTATTCTGGTAAGTCATTAAAAGACACATCTCGTTATTGCAAACCTGAACAAAAAAAAAATAATGAAAAGTTCAACACCAAACAACTAAAACTGTATTCAGAGGAAAGGATCCTGACAGAGAAAAAAAAATCGGTTAGGTGAAACAAGCTCGGCAACAGAAACAGATAAATCCAGCCGTTTTGCAAAATTATAAAACACACTACGACTGTAATAAAAATTCTATAAAAACAACAAACAACTCTTATAACGACCAGCAATGAGAAGACAAGAGCGTTCCACTCCCGAAAACAAAATGACGAACCACAACATAAAAGAAATGGAAACAGTATATAAGGCTAAAACGTCTGGAGAGAAAAAAAATCCTTAAACCTAACGCCAAAGCTGCTCTATCAAGACCGAAGGGCAGAAAAAGCTAGGGGCGTCTCAAAAAATGTGGGACTTCCAACACTTGCAACCGTAACAGGCGGAGACGGTGGTCAATGCAATTTCCCACACCACCAACTTATATAAACTTAAAAACTTTCATTTACTAACACGACACGTTCCACGTGTCGGCGGTGAGATAAACAAATTTACGGGCAATAATCTCAAACGATTTCTCATTAATGTGTGAATCGTTCAAAGGAAGTCATAAGAGCAGTTCATAAATACCGCTCCTCCAGAGAGACAGGGGAACAGGATGCAATTTAATCTAGTGTAAACTGTCCTTCCACAGGTGCTTTGAACCGCTACGGCAAAGCGTAAAGCAAAAGCTACGCAGTCAAGCGTGCATTCTTCCGTTTG